CACTCAGACACTCAGACACACTCACACACACTCAGACAGACACACTCACACCCTCACACACTCACACACACACTCGCACTCACACACTCACACACACACACACACACCCTCACACCCTCACACACTCAGACACTCAGACACTCAGACACTCCACCCTCAAACACACTCACACACATTCACGCCATGGCCAGTTTTCCCAGAGGCCAATTAATCCAACATTAATCCAATCGCACCCAGAGGAAACCCACACAAACACAGAGAGAACATACAAACTTAGTAAGAGTTTGAAGAAGAGCAACAGGAATGGTTATTGGTTATTGTCATATACAGCTACATTTCCTCACTCAGCAACAAAGGAAATGGTCAGATTTGCTTCAAGTATTTAAAATCCTTGGGGATATAGACAGTGTTATCTATGTGTACTGAAACAAGAATACAGGCTGTACCTGATAGGTAAAATATAATTTCTTTAGATAGAAAAATAGGAAATGTTTCTTTACACAATGAGTTGTGGGTGTCTGTAACAGTCTTCCCAGCCCTGTGACTTAGGCCTTATTGGCCTCCTCTTGTCTGCAATCCTTCCTTTCACTGATCACTGATTTCACTGATCTCTGCCTCCTCTGAACAACACAGAGCCACCCGGTATGGAGGCATCTCGAACACCTGGACTAAGACTGCCCTCTAGTGGCAACAGTGTGAAGTCCACATCTTCCTCCAACCAGCAGATGTCACAACCATTAGGTCTGTCTTGCTGGTTTGAGTTTTAGTAACGTCTTGGTCCAGGAACCTGGTGCAACCACGACTTCAGAGAGGTGCCTTAGGGTATGTTACAAGGATACAGCGGGCTGGCCTGGGTCTCACCTGATGGCTCTCTGCTCCGCGGGATCGTGCAGAGACATGTAGAGCTCTGTCTCCTCGCCCACCCGGCACACGAAGTTCCTCACGGACAGGAAGAGGCTGCGCATGGGGGACGAGAGCTGCGGGACCTTCTGCGCTCCTCCCTCCGACTGGACCTGCGGAGAGGGAGGGGGGTCAGGCGGAAGGGCCGGCCCTCGCGCTGACCGGCCGTCAGCTCTCACACTCACACAATGCTGCTCAGTGCGGAGGCTGGTGTCCCGGTGAGCTCTGTACAGGCTGACCACGCCGGTGCTATCTGGGTTCAGAACCGTACCCTCCGGCCCGCGGACCACCAGGTCCAACTTCAACAGCCTGCAAACAGAGGCACAGCTCAGAGAAAGGGTCACAGGTCAAAGGGGTCAGAGGGGTCAGAGAAAGGGTTACAGGTCAGAGGGGTCAGAGGGGTCAGAGAGAGAGTCACAGGTCAGAGGGGTCAGAGGGAGAGTCAAGGGTCAGAGGCACAGCTCAGATGGATGAGTGGTCATTCTAACATCTGAGTGGTTGAAGTGGTCAGTCTGACGAGTGAATAGTCAGTCAGAGATTAGAGTGGTCAGTCTGGGTGAACATACCGGTTGCCCTGGTCAATCTGGGAGGTGACCTGCTGCTGCAGCTCCAGCAGCTTGTCCTTGGACAGCGTCCCTGACTGCAGCTGGCTCCGCCTCTCCATCAGCTCACACATCATCGCACCCACCCGATGGAACAGCTGGCCCCGCCCGTCCTGCAGGGGGAGCACACGAGCCCTTCCACCAGCTTCCAACACAGCTTCGCTCAGGACTGGTTTCCAGGAAGCTCAAAGCAAAACTGTAAGTGAAGCTAAACTACAGTTTAGTGGTGTCTGCAATGGCTACTGTGGAGTCTCCGATAGAGGATGAACGAGAGGATCTGTCACTGCCTGGAGTCTGGTCTTCAGCACAGTGAGAAGACTGTCTCCCAGTGTGTGGAGTCTGGTCTTCAGCAC